GTACAACAATAACAAAAACTTAAAATTCTATATAACTAAAAAAATCCTAAAGAACAAAAGCAATCCTGAAGAAAAGAAACAAAGCTAGGCATCATAATACCTGATACCCAAAACTCACTATTTAGCTATAGCATTAAAACAGATGGTACTGCATAAAAACAGACTCAACAGATGAATGTCAGAATACAGAACCCAGAAGTCACACTTCTACAGTCAAATGATCCCTACAAGGCAGCAAAAAGTTCATTTGAGAAATGAACCATTGTGTTAAATAATGGAGCTGGCAAAATAGATATGCATGTGTACAAGAAAGGAACAAGGCCTCTATCTCTAACCATATAAAAATCAACTAAAGGGGTGAATTTAACTATGATTATTGTAAGGACTTTTGCAAATGTCACAATGTACCCCCTGGTAAAATAATAATATAATAAAAAAGAATTTAAAAATCAACTCAAATGCATCAAAGATCTAAACTTAATTCTCTGATAATAACATAAAAGAAAAAAAATAGAGGAAATACTCCTGCCATTGATTCATTGGATAAGACTCCAAAACACAGGACAAGAATAAATGCAAAACAGACAAATGGGTGGTTACAAACTGAGACATGCTATGCAGCAAAGGCAACATAACAAAGTAAAGAAAAAGACAACTGTGGAATTTGTAGCAGTATTCACAATTGCTTTGATATGGAGTCAATAAGGTGTCCACTTTTGAATGGATGAATGAATTGAAAAAATGTGTTGCAGATACACAATAGAATATATTCACCCATAGCAAAGAATGAAATTCTGTCATTTCCCGGATATAACTGAAGGACATGATGTTAAATAAAAGAAGTCAAGGACAGAAAGACATGTCCTGCATGAGGTCACTTGTGTGTACAAGCTAAAAATATTCTCATAGAAGTAAAAAGTAAAATAGTGGCAACAAGAGAAAGGGTAAGAGGAGCAGAGACAGAGGGAGGTTGGGTAAAATACAGTTATATTGTGTGAATAAGTTCTGCTGTTCTGTAGTGCAGTAGGGTCACTACAGTTCAATATAATTCATCATATATTTTACAAAGAACCAGAAGAGAGGAGTCTGAAGGCCCTCAACAGAAAGAAATGGTAAATGCTTTAGGAGAAGGACATGCCAACTGACCTTTTTTGAATATTACACATTGCATACATGTATCAAATTGTCAATTGTATCCCACAAATATGTACAAATATTATGTGTCAATTAAAAATAATATAAATTCCTCCAAGGAACTTGGAACAATGTTAAGTAAATATCTTTAAGATGTTTAAATAAAGTTCCATAGTATATATTGAAATATCTGGAATAACATCTTTGCGACTTTTTTCTTATGGGTTATATTCTCAGGATAGAATTGCAGGTCAAAATTATATGTACTTTTAATTAAACAAACACTAGCAGATTGTTTTCCAAAAGTGTTATACTAAGGAGTAATTCCTCAAAGAATATAGAAAAGTGATTGCGTGGACCTATTCTCACCAGTAGTGTGGTACAGTTTAATTTTTACTAGGCTTACTGTCATAAAGTGCCTTCTTCCAAATTCATTCTATTTCTGTTATATTCGTGCTTTTCTTAGAAATGGCAGCTAAATTTTATTATATGCTTTTGAGTTTCTATTGTTAATATTTTTTCTGTATTTAATTATTATGTGATGTATTATGTTGCTGTACTTTCATTTCTGTAATAGAATTACACTTAGAGTCTAAACTCAAGGTTGTTAAAACTGTTTAACACAGCTTGATAGTTGAGATTTGTTTTTTGGTTTTTTATTATTATGTTTTGATGTTTATGCGTGTGTCAATTTCTATTAATTTGTATAATATTAAAAAAGTATTTACTCTTTTGCTGAGGTCTAGAAAGCTTAAATCACATTGCAATTACCGTTCATAAATGTTTAGGTAAAAATTGGAGTTTGAAGTCAGAGCTTTGTGCTTGCTAGGCAGGTGCTTCACCCTGTGAGTCACCCTTTTCTCTTTGGTTATTTTGGAGATAAAAATCTTGCTTTTTTTTTTTTTTGCCTTGACCAGCCTGGACTGTAAGTATCCTATTTACACTTCCTGTTTTAGATGGGATGAGAGGTGCATACCACCATGCTTATCTTTTGTCATTGAGGTGGGGGTGGGGGCATCTCATGACCTTTTATGCTCCAACTGGCCTGGAACCTTGATCCTCCCAATCTCAGCCTCCCAAGTAGTATTACAGGTATGAGCCATGCACTAGGCTCCAATAACAAGTTTTAAGCAACTTCTTAGTCTCTTCTTTAGTCATAAATATATTGATGTTTTCTATTACTTAAATTAATTGTGAGCATTTATGCATTTCAAGGAAACCACACAGTTACTATAGATTTTCAAATTTACTGCAATAAAACTTAATGTATTATTTTCTTATAATTCTTTTACTGTCTTACATTTATCATTGTTTCCTTTTTTCATTCCTCATTCCAAGTTTTGGACATTTTAATGTGTCTCTTTTTTCTTTCTTTAATGAGACAAAAGATTTTCTTATTCAGTTGATTTTTTTAAATAATAAATATGTCTATTCCTTCTACAGTTTTTGTTTTTATTTCCTTGCTTCCAACTTCTGTTTTCATAAATTGTTTTCTTTTTAAATGATTTATTGTATTTTAAGGTGACTATTAATTCTCTTTAACATTTATTTTCTCTTTTAATAATGATTGAAGGCTATGAATTTTCCTTCAAGTACAGCTTTGTGTCCTCTAGTATTTATTTATCTTGACTTTTTAAACATATATGTATATATGTATATATATTTTGGTGGAACTGGGGTTTGAACTCAGGGCCTCACAGTTTCTAGGCAGGTGCTTTACCACTCGAACCACTCCACCAGTCCTTTTATGTGTTAGGTATTTTTGAGATAGGGTCTCACAAACTATTTTCATGGCTTTGAACCATGATTCTACTGGTCTCTGCCTCTGGAGTAACGAGGATTACAGTTGTTAGCAGCTGCTCCCGGCTGATATCTGCTGGTAAACAGAAGTTTTTTTTTAACTTACAAGTAGTATAATATTTTATCTACCTTTTAATTATTTATTAGCATATTACTGTATTATAATGAGAAATAAAATGACTTGTAAACTCTCTTCTTTGAAAACATTTAAAAACACTTTTGTAACTAAGTGCATATTAAATTTTAGAATAACAACTGTAAAGAGAAAATCTCCTGTATATTTTAAATTGAATTTATTGATAATACTTTCCAGGCTTTTTATCTTTACCAGGTCTTTGTGGCTGATTTGAAAAAAGACGTATTTAAATCTCCCCCATACATGTATTTTTCATCAGATTTTCCTCTCCTTGCCATAGTTTTTGCCTTACATATTTTTCACCTTGTGGATCAGGACATTCATTCAATGCATTTTCTTCATGTGTTGTGACATTTATCATGGCACCAGTCTTCTTATCTAGGTTAGTGCTTTTAACCTGAAGTTTTGTATCATTTGATATTAATATTGTCCTTCCTTCATTATTTTTGCTTGCATTAATTTGGTATTTTTGTCTACTTCATTGTTTTCAGTTCTTCAATCATTTTAAGTAAATTTTTCTTTTTCTTTCTTTCTGCATTTATTGAGATGATCAAATGGTTTTTGTCTTTGCTTCTATTAATGTGCTGTATTACATTTATAGTTTTGCATATGTTGAACTACCCACGCCTGCATCCCTGGGATGAAACCGACTTTGTCATGGTGAATGATCTTTCTGATGTTGGATTCTGTTTGCCATTAATTTATTAAGGGTTTTTCATCAGTATTCATTATGGAGATTGGCCTGTAGTGGATGTGTCCTTGTCTGGTTTGGGGATGAGTGTAAGCCCCTTCTTCTGATGCTTAGAGTCAGGCACAGATTTCTCTTGTTCATCTTTATAAATAAGTTACCAATTTATTCCACCATGGCATTCCACTTTTAATGGTCACCTCTCTTACTGCAATAAGATGAGTCCTTTAGCATACCTCAACTTGCTTATCTTCTCTGCTTCATCCCATCAGATGAGACATTTGGAATGGTCTTAATGTCAAATCTTCTCTCATCCCAATTCTATCTTGTCAGTGGACCCTTCAAGTTTTGTTGAGATAGTGAAATACTTTTAATTGTAAACTCATTAGGCTTTTATTTTACTGTATTTTTTATCTCAAGAATTCTTATTTAACACTATAAAAGATGCATTCTCAATCAGAGAACTATGTGTGTCTTATCTATTTTATTAATGTGTGCATACAGGCACACACTTTGCGTGGGAGTGTGATGTACTAAAATATTCATGCTCTGTGGCTCAACTTGTCATAAATCTGCCAGAAGCCCTATTTCATTGAATACTTTTACCTTATTCTTTCAGGTGATAATTCTAATAGTTTGATGGTTTTTTTTTTTTTTTTTTGGTAACCTAAAGATCTGGTTACCAATTTAGGAGTGTAGATGGCCCTATAAGTGATAAAAATCAAAGCATCTCCTGTCTACCTCCCTGGGGAATTGTGAAAAATGAGACAGACAGACTCTCTGTAAGCAGCAGAGAGAAACTTCCTACTCCTCTTTCTGTTTCCATATCAGAAATAGTGAAGACTGTGCCTACCACATACCACTCCTTGGGCTTCATGGTGGTCAGTCAGACTGACCACATGAATGATACTGATTTTAGATGCTTAGGGTAAACACAACTCTGAGGCTTTGCCCAGAACTCATGAAGAGCAACCTCTACCTCGAGGGTCTCTGAGTTTGATTTTCAGACCCAAGCATAGCCCATTTTTGAAAGTCCCTACACTATCTCTTCTGCCAAGACTTTTTCAGAACAACTTACCAAAACCGACTGTTGCTTGGTTCAAGATAGACAAACAGATTAAGATAGAAATTTGTAAGAAATAAGTATTTCAAATTCTATCATCTTCCCAGAATCTTCTTAGGAAATAATTATAGTTTTTCAATTTAAACAATCTATAGCTTTTCAGTTAGTTTTAATTGCCAAGAATGGCTCGGTTATGTTTTGCTGTCTATGCGGTTTTGGATAAAGTAAAAACGAAGAAATCAACTAAAGCTATTAATCCCTCTAAATACCAGACCATCCGGAAAGCTGGAAAAGTGCATTATCCTGTAGCATGGGTGAACACGATGGTCTTTGACTTTAAAGGACAGTTGAGGTCTGGAGACGTGATACTGCACAGCTGGTCTTCATTTCCTGATGAGCTTGAAGAAATGTTGAATCCAATGGGAACTGTTCAGAGGAATCCTTACACTGAAAATGCAACTGCTTTGCACATTAAATTTCCAGAGAATAAAAAGCATCCCTATTATTACCCGCCTTTTGATAAGATTATTGAAAAGGCAGCTGAGATTGCAAGCAATGATAGTGCTAATGTGTCAAGTCGAGGAGGAAAAAAGTTTCTTGCGGTACTGAAAGAAATCTTGGATAGGGATCCCCTGTCTCAGCTGTGTGAGAATGAAATGGATCTTATTTGGACTTTGCGACAAGACTGCAGAGAGAATTTCCCACAGTCACTGCCAAAATTACTCCTTTCAATCAAGTGGAATAAACTTGAAGATGTGGCTCAGCTTCAGGCGCTACTTCAAATTTGGCCTAAACTGCGCCCCCCCCCACACCGGAAGCTCTGGAACTTCTAGATTTCAACTATCCAGACCAGTATGTCCGGGAGTACGCTGTGAGCTGCCTGCGACAGATGAGTGATGAAGAACTGTCTCAGTATCTTCTACAACTGGTGCAAGTTTTAAAATATGAGCCTTTTCTTGATTGTGCGCTCTCTAGATTCCTACTAGAAAGAGCACTTGCTAATCGGAGGATAGGGCAGTTTCTGTTTTGGCATCTTAGGTCAGAGGTGCACATTCCTGCTGTGTCAGTACAATTTGGTGTCATCCTTGAAGCGTACTGTCGAGGAAGCGTGGAACACATGAAAGTGCTTTCTAAACAGGTTGAAGCACTCAACAAGTTAAAAACTTTAAATAGTTAAATCAAACTGAATGCAATGAAGCTAAACAGAGCTAAAGGAAAGGAGGCCATGCACACTTGTTTAATGCATACCGGGAAGCCCTCTCTGACCTGCAGTCACCTCTGAATCCATGTGTCATCCTCTCAGAACTCTATGTGGAAAAGTGCAAATACATGGACTCCAAAATGAAGCCGTTGTGGTTGGTGTACAGCAACAAGGTGTTTGGTGAGGATTCGGTCGGAGTGATTTTTAAAAACGGTGATGATTTGCGACAGGATATGTTAACACTCCAAATGTTGCGCTTGATGGATTTGCTCTGGAAAGAAGCTGGTCTGGATCTTCGGATGCTGCCTTATGGCTGTTTAGCAACAGGAGATCGCTCTGGCCTCATTGAGGTTGTGAGCACCTCTGAGACGATTGCTGACATTCAGCTGAACAGTAGCAATGTGGCTGCTGCAGCAGCCTTCAACAAAGACGCCCTTCTCAACTGGCTTAAGGAATACAATTCTGGGGATGACCTGGATCGAGCAATTGAGGAGTTCACCCTGTCCTGTGCTGGCTACTGTGTAGCTTCTTATGTCCTCGGGATTGGTGACAGACATAGTGACAACATCATGGTAAAAAAAACTGGCCAGCTCTTCCACATCGACTTTGGACATATTCTTGGAAATTTCAAATCTAAATTTGGTATTAAAAGGGAGCGAGTGCCTTTTATTCTTACTTATGACTTTATTCATGTCATTCAACAAGGAAAAACAGGAAACACAGAAAAATTTGGCCAGTTCCGCCAGTGTTGTGAAGATGCATACCTGATTTTACGACGGCACGGGAATCTCTTCATCACTCTCTTTGCACTGATGTTGACTGCAGGACTCCCCGAGCTCACATCAGTCAAGGATATACAGTGTCTTAAGGATTCTCTTGCTTTAGGGAAAAGTGAAGAAGAAGCACTCAAACAATTTAAGCAAAAATTTGATGAGACACTCAGGGAAAGCTGGACTACTAAAGTGAACTGGATGGCCCACACAGTCCGGAAAGACTACAGATCTTAACGACCAGCCTTTGCTCCTAATGTTCCCCTTAGTTTTGTTTTGTTTTCATTTTGCACTTGCACTAAATTGAACAAGACCCTGCCAGAGATGTTATAAAGGGAATGAAATCCTTTATATGAACTCAGAGATAAATAAGAACAAGGCACCCCACAGAAACTAATGTGAACAATCCCTGACAACTACACTATGCTTTTTGAATGCTTCCAAGACTCATCATGAATCCTGTCAGCATTATGGATAATCATTTCCTGCTGACTTTGCACGCCAAGGAATAAATGCTACTAGGGATTGTTTGATGTCTCTTTTTTGTTTTTTAAAGTGTTTGGTACTTTATGAGAAAGGTGTAAATACTTATTTTCAGCGTTGTGACCAGGTGTTACCATTCAGCCAACAACTTGTCCACACCTGGGGACTGTTCTTATTTTCCAAATGAAGCATCAAAGAAAGTTATCTTCCTTCCCTTTTAAAATTGTATAAAGTACAAATTATAATCTGAATCTAAGATTATTTTTCAAAAGAAATCTTTTAATCCTATGGAAACTCATTAATTTTGTTAATATTTATCTACCCTGGTAGTATCATTCCAACCAGACTTGCTGAAAATCTGTTGGTGAGATGAACATAATATATATATATATAAAACATGCTGCATTTATATTTATAAAATTTCTAGTGGGAGTTCTATATAAAAAGATGTTTCTTTGGTATTCTCTAGCCTGTATTTAAAGTTTTACAAAAAGCGGAGCTTTTTCCTAAGTTACCTTTCAGTTGGTTAACTGCGATCCAGTTCTTCCAGCTGCTTCTGTAATGAGGCACATATTAATACACTTTTTATATGGTATCTGTGAAAGAATTCACTTCATAGTACATAATACTTGAGCAGATGTATCGATGAAAGCAAGCAAATGAAAAGGAACTATTTATGGAATAAACTCCAGACCTAAAATTCAGTATTTTAGTAAAATGCCAGCTATTCTTACTGTATTTATTAAAACTTGTAATAATGTGATTTTTCAATGATACTAGTTCACACTGAAATGGTTTCATGCCACATGGAAGTCTTCAGTTTATTTCTTGAGGTACCACACATTTAGGGTGCTGGGTGGTGAATAATGTTAATATGTGCAATAGGAACTACTGGCTTGATGTGCAGGTGAAGTAGACACTCTGAGTACTGGCACGATCCAGCAGAACCACTGCTTATTCTCCAAAGGATATTGGGGGCTCTCAGTCCTCAATGAATGGGAAAGACAGCTGAGTTCTTGCCCTGTGACTGAGTTTTCTATAGGAATTTTATTAAAGGTTGTTTAATTTAAAAAAAAATAATTTTATAAATGAAAGAACATATTTAAACTAAGGAAATAAACAGAAAGGCAACATTCAGTCATGTGTAATATATGGAATATGGGGAGTTATTTTTCTTGACTGTCCATAGTCCTTCCAGTAACCCCTAATCAAGCTTGTGTGATTTCAGCCTTGATAAATTGCAATGTCAGAAATAATTCTGTTGAAAGTAACAGAAAAATCAACAATATATGGAATATATATATATATATACATATATACGTACATCTATACATATGTATATGTATATAAAATGTGTTTATACATATAGCTATCTGGAGCCAAGCAAACTATAGGGAGGATAAGTATTAAGTATGTTGGAGTTTGGATAATCAGTAGGTCAATTATGTTATTGATAACTATATTTTGCCTCATTTCTATTCTTTTCTTGGTAAAATTGCTCCTTTTCAAGACTGCAAGATACCTTCCAACAGCCTCCAGGGATCCTGGGTTTCTTAGTACAGGCAATGGCATCTTTCCCATTAGCTCTCTGAGAGAAGCGTACAATCTTCTTTCTCACAGTCTCCTTGAAAATATCAGCCATTTCTCATTGGCCCAATTCAAATCATATATATTGTCACAGACAAACACCTGCCCATTCACCTGCTCACACACAATTGTTTAAGGTATCATAAAGACATACACAGTGTCTATGAAACCATTCTTGCCACCATTATGAAATATTTTCACTTTGCTAAATCCATTGATCAATTTCAAGTCCTTATTTTACTTAGTATCATTTTACTCAATTGATTATCCACTCTTGAAAGACTATCTTCCCTTTGCCTTTCTGAACATGCTTTCCTGGTTTTCCTTCTACCTCCCCAGCTGCTTCAGTTCTGTCTCCTTTGCTAGTTCTTGCTCAAGCTTGTGTTGTCTTCTAAAAGAAGCAGATACAGAATAGCACTTAGAGCACTTCTCTTTTCTATCTATACTCACTGTCTTTATGGCCTTATCAACATCATCATCATCTAGCAAATCAGCATCATTCTTCTTATCACTAAAGGCCAGAGAAATATTATCTGATCTGCTCTTGGGAGGATATTATCACACAGACTCAGTTATTGTCCACAATTTACAAGGGAGAAAACAGAGACAGAAGACACTGCACATAGCTGGGGCAAGATCAGAGAGAGAAGGTGGAACATGCAGACCTGAACCCTGCCATGTGGACCCGAGTCATCCTTAGCCACACATGCTCTTCCATCCATTGGGTGATCACAGTCTTTCTGTGGCCCTCTGTTTTGTGGAGGAGAAGTATTGGGGTTTGAACTCAGGGCCTCACATTTGCTAGGCAGGCACTGTAGAGTGCACTTGAGCCATTCTGCCAGTGCTTTTCTTGTGTTGGGTATCTTAAGATGGGGTCTTGAGAACTATTTGTCCAGTCTGGCTTCAAACTGCAACCCCCCTATCTCTGCTCCTGGGGTAGCTAAGATTACCATCATGAGCCACTGCTCCTGGCTATGGGGCCCCTCTTCAACACTGTGTCTGCTGTCTGTGCAGGGGATCTAATTACTATGGTGGCAAATCTTACGAATAAAATACCTTTCCTCCTTCCTTTCCATTTGCAATTTGAACTCAACTTCATCACACTGAAATTAATATTATGTCACTTTTCATCTCTTAATTGCCAAGTCCAACAGATATTTTTCAGTCTTGTTCTACATTTAACAGAGGTGAGCCTTCCCTCCTTGACACTATTTCCATGAAACTGCATTCCCTGACATTGTGCTTTTCTGGATTTTCTCCTATCCCTGTGACATTTTCATTAGAGCACATCTTACTCAAAGTATGCTTTAAGTTTGATGTTCTTCAGGTTTTTACCCCTCTTCTCATTCTGTTTTCTCTGGAGATGATATCATCCATTTTAGGGACTTACATTGAGACTTAATATCCCTTAATATGCATGTGCTTGTCCTCACTTAGAGGTCCTGTATGTCCCTCAGTCCAAATATGCAGAGCTGAGCAATCTGGCTCCCTTCTTACCACTCTGCAACTATTCCACTGTCTCTTTTCCCTGTTTGTGTAACAAAATGCCACAGCCTCTATCCAATGTCCAGAGAACTCAGAGGGTATCTGATACTTTCTCTGTTCTTTCACCTTCAATACCCAGGTGGTCAGCATGTGTTATATCCCAAGTCTGTGTTCTCTTAACATCACCAATGGACTTGTGTTGAAATACTGCTTATCTTTAAATTGAATCATTACAATAGGTTGCTATTTGATCTTCCAGATTCCAGACTTGCCCTTGCAATCTTTTGTCCATGGTGTTACCAGAGTAAACTTTTCACATTGCAAATTTCACCATGTCTTTCCCCATATGTTTTTCTTCATTGACTCTCTGTGCTTAGAGGATGAGTTTCAAACTCAGCAAAGTCCCTTGTTATCCAGTCCCAACCTGCTTCTCCAGACTCTTTCTTTGATATTTCTTGAATTATTCCTCTTCTCTTCCTTCTGTTTTACCCCTTTCTTCCTCATTTTTTTGGGTGGCTACTTCTCTAGCTCTTTGCTTGCCACTTCTCAAGCTCTTTCTCTTTTTCTTCCCCATCTTCTTCTGTTAAAACCTTTTTCTTCCTACATTCTCCTCTTCTTCCTCTTCCTCGAGTACTAAATTGCTTGTACTTTGAAGCCCAAGAGACTGTTTTACAGACCCAGACACCATCTTACACATCTTTCCTCATCTGTGAAACCCTGCTCATCCTGACAAGGCCAGTTCACATATTGTACCTTCTAAATTCTCCAAACTGAGTCAATTACTTTTTCACTTTGCTAATTTTGGAACTTCACCACACTTTATGATGCATAAAGTTAGTTACAACTTGTTTGAACTCTGTGACTCTTTTTAGATTTTAAGTTCCTTGAAAGTACTAATTTTGTTCTTATTATCATTTTATCCCTTTTCAAAACGATCAGCACATAATAGAGTCAGTATTTGCTGAGCTGTGCTGAACTGAAGCATAAGTTAGTTTCCCCTGGGATATCAACTGTACTTTTAGAGATGATATCATACATTTTACTGTCACAATAATGTGCCTTTCATGTGTACCATATAATGTCTAAGTAATTTTCTCAAGTTAAATATATATAAGTAGTCAAATTTATTATTACATATCTTTAAAACAGCATTTAGTATTATTAACAAAGTACACATGTTATTTTGTGCTAAAATCCTTAAAATTTCCATGTCAAAAAATTGCTTCCATTTTCTCATGGAAATAAGAATAAAAGCAGTGACTTCTGGGATTACATTACTAGCCAAATTCAGATTAATTTCATTACCACATTTCTAAGGAGTCTACATTTCATACTCTTGAGTCATCTGTTTTTATAGCTTTCATATTTATAGCACATATAGAGATTTAATAAAGTCACTTAGTAATGACAAAAGTTAATTCTGATTGTCATCAGAAAGAACTCAGATAAGTTTATCCTTTAAAATGAATTTAACATCAATAGAAAAATGAGACTTGCAAGTCATTGAATCTGTTTTTATAGTTAAGGAGCCAAAAATTAATTACTATCAACCTTGTCTCCCCATAGCTCTGATTTTTGTTTCTGACATCACCCTCAGAGCTTTAAAACTTGATAGAAATAGAATATGGGTAGGAAATTTAGCTTTCTGTAAATGAATAAGGTTTTATCATGTGTTAATGTAGATTCCTTTAAAGCTGGGTTTCTGGGGAAAGACTCACAAAATTCAACTTTGTGTAATTATGTATGTCCTTCTTCTAAATCTTAAGAAGTTGGTGTATTTTTTTAAACTGAGGGACAATTTATTCAAAATTAAGTTATTATAAGTTATTAGTTATACAGTTATTAAATGCTCAGTGGCATTTAATACATTCACAATGTTATGAATCCATCATTTCTATTTTATTCCAAAATATTGCTTTTCTGACAAATGGAAACCTGAGCCCTTTGAGCAGTTCCTGTCTTTTCCTTTCCCTAGGCCTTGACAATTCTTTCTGTTTCTATGGATTTTATCTATTCTGGATATTTTATATAAATGGAATCATACCACATGTTGCCTTTTGTGCTGGCTTCTTTCACTTACAACAATATTTTTGAGGTCTATTCACTTTGCAGCATGTAAAGAAATACTTCATTCATTTTTACGGCTAGATAATATTCCTTTCTGTATATATATATGTATATATATATATCACAATTGTTTATCCATTCAGCTGTTTGTTTATGGGCATTAATGTTGTGTTGCTGTGTTCAGTTTTTAATAATGAATAGTGCTGCTGTGAACAGTCACATACAAGTGCTTGAGTACCTATTCTCAATTAGTTAGTGTATATATGTATAAATATAATATGTGTGTATGTATATGTATATATATGTGTATATATTTTTGTTTTGTTTTGTTGCTGATGCTGGAGTTGGAACTCAGGGCCTCATGATTGCTAGGAAAGTGCTCGACTACTTGCACCATGCTTCCAGCCCTTTTTGCTTTAGTTGTTTTTCATACAGGATCTTGCACTTTACAACAACCTTGGATTGTATTCCTCTTACCTATTCCTCCTGCATAGCTAGGGTTGTGATATGAACTACCATTTCCAACTTGTTCCTTGAGATACAGTCTTGTTATCTTTTTTGCATAGGCTGACCTTGAGCCATGATCCTCCTATTGCTACCTCCCAACTAACTGGAATTATAGACATGAGACACTGTACCCAGCTAGTTGGTACATTTTTGAGAAGGACAGAAGAGTCAGTATCCTGAAATTTAGAACACTGCTTGGAAATTTGACTGAATATAGACAATTTTCTCATCTTAGGATGCATGGAAAGAAGCCAAACTTCAAGACTTTGAGCACTTTTTCCCCATGGAATTGATCACTCATTTTCTTGACAAAAGTGCTTGGACTGACAGTGATGGGGAATTTGATTCAATTGTTCCATTTTGCTGAATGGATCCTTAAGAAAATCAATTCTTATCATTTGTCAGATATGTGTTCA